GAAATCATCACTAAAGTCATACGCATGAATCAAAGGGATAAGTATTACTATGCATATCAGATAGGAGCGAAAGACATAAATAGTAAGACATCACAGATGTCAGTTGAACTATGAAATCATCATATTGCACATACTAGGGATGACATGGGAATCTTTGACACAATTCCAAAAGCTGCTACGGAGCTGTGCTTCAGATAGGAGCGAAAGACATAAATAGTAAGACATCATGGATGTCAGTTGAACTATGAAATCATCATACACAGGTGTAGAAGCAGCTCAATATAAACCATCAGGGCTCATGCACAAGACCGCTGAGCAGCCTTAACATAAACGAATCAGACTAAAACTAGCACTACATGCATCAGATAGGAGCGAAAGACATAAATAGTAAGACATCAAAGCTGTCAGTTGAACTATGAAATCATCACGGCTGCATGGAGTGCTAGATGGAAATTTATCAGCAAAACAAAATACACAGAAAGACTGAAGAAACTTGAACTACACTGACAACAACACCATACGAATACTTACACTTTTTCCAGGACGATTCCCTTGGCGTGGGAAGCACCTCCGAAGGGGTTGGCCTTCCATCTGGTTCCAAGGTTGGCCTTCTTGAAGTCGTTGTCGGCCCACCTCTGCTCACGCCTGTGGTTGACGTGCTTACGCGCAGTACGAATACCACGAGGCTTACCTGCAAAAATGAACAGGATAAAAAACGATTAAACGTCATTCGGTGCAACGCAAGGAAAGAGAAGGCCCTATTTCACTGAGTGCGACAAATCGTGAGTGTGTTAACATTGTTAAGATTCTGCTCGACAGGTGAAGATCATTATTGACCGGCAGGATGGAACGCCTGACGCCGGTGGGGATCCAACCTCTAACGGCCCTAACCTCAACAAAAATTTAGAGCCCTGAGACGACTACATTGAAAACAAGAAAGGATGGAAGTTCATAGAAACACGGTCACAATAAACGTGACATTAAATTATTAAAATTGATAAATATTACGGTAAAAATGTAAATAAAACAAGCGCAAAATTTAAACTGTTTACCACATGAGACTCATATCGTCACGTAAACAAGCCAAGAAGAAACCAACGGAAGCAAAATTCACATTTAGAAAGGGGTAATTGCTTGAATTGAGCCGTGAACTTTCGATTGAGTATCCAAATAGGCAGAGTAGAAAAGTTCAGCGGTACTGGCATGACACGCGGGCCACGTTTTAGCAACAGATCTGAGCCGCAGACAGAGACTCACAAAAAGCCGTCTGACATCAAAAATTGTGACCTACGATTAGCCCACGTATAAAACGAGTCACCAAATCCAATCTACTGTCGAAAAAAGTAGCAAAATGTAGGATTTCCGAAGTTAAAACCACAATTTAAAGGTGCATGTACTCACCCATGTTTGCAGGCGTACAGCACGGAGGAAAGAAACTACCGGAGCCGGAACGGGTGGTGGACTGGAAGGAATACTGACAAGAAAAAGAAAGGAAGCTTTGCCAACTGAGAAAACAAAAACTCAGCAACTTTGGCAGATATATGGAGCACAATGACATTCAATCCGTTCTTTGTCATTTTTAAATTGAAAACCTAAATTGTTACACAAAACGGCTGTTTTTGTTTAATGCAAAGATAAAGACCAACTTTTAAAATTACCGTCAGTTATTTTGTGTGTTTGGACCAATCTCTGCTCGGGTGCATGACGGCTAGCACAAACAAGGATAGGCAGTCGACGACAAATCCGATCATCCGTCGCATTTTAAGTCTTGTTATTTTCAAGTTTTAAGCAACAATTCGCAATTGTAAAAAATGGCAGCTAACAGCGGAGGAGTGGAATGGGCCTCCGTTGTTAAACCCATACTGTCTTCTCATGGATCTTTCACCAAAAGTGGAGTCGTCGAACTGTCCAAAGCAATAATCAAAAGGTTTGCATCGGGTTTTGTACTGAAGTTGTGGGCGGATAGCCAAATTGGTATAAGGTCATAAGCAATTACTTCGCCCATTCCTTGGCGAGTTTTGTCGCTTATGGCTATGATAACCGTTTCGACTTCTTGTAACAAACTAGTGGAGCCTATCTGTAATGATAGTCTAAATGTCATTCAGCATAACCCTATAGTTCGCGTATCTCTTTCAACCCTGCCGACCTACTGTATTCCCTCCGCGCATTCCATATCGTGAATACCCTTCATTGTACTGTTGGTTTAGCGCCAATTGCTAATCCGGCGAGAGAAATTAGTTTTGATTATAAGTTAGTGGGAGTCAGTCACTCATTGGCTCTCAACTAAGGGTTGTTCATACCAATGAATCATACAATTTAATTATTTCCTTGATTGCCCAATTTGTTGCAACTTTTCGTCATGTTTTGACTTGACTCATCTCTCTTTATTGTACCCTGCAGAATTTGAAGCTTTTCCTTACAATCAATTGTTAATTATCATTCACTTATAATACATTATTATTATGTAATTATATTGTATTGTCCTTTTACGAAACTCTTATTTCCCTCTCTTTTTTCTTAATCAGTGAACATGAACTAATAAGCCACGATGAGGAACATGAAACCTTCTACACAGTGTTTGCTGCTTTGGCAGCTGATCATATCAGTGCCAATGTCGGGATTGGTTAGTAAAAGTTGAACTTTTTACACTGTATATCTATTGCCTGCTATTTGTGGGTTTCCTCAAGATACCAAACATTTATTTAACTCCAAATTTGAATTGACCTTCCTTTTTCTATTTTTTCTAGTTTGGCGTAGTCAAATTGGGGTTGTCACTCAGGCTGCTCGTATTCTGCTTCAGTATTTATTGGGCAGATTACAAGCACAAATGGCTCTGGGTGAGAAATCGTCTGGTGAAAATGAAACAGTTCAAGCCCTTTCAGCTAAGCAACTACTTCTTCCAATTAAAGCACTTTGCTCTGGGTTCAGTACATTGACGCTTGCTGAAGAAACTACATTAGCCTCACTCATGAAAAATTCAAAACTGCCAGCTCATGTTGCTGCTAGTTTATCAGGTACAGGAAATACACCAATATATATACAATCTCAATGTTGGGAAATTTCGTTTAATTCTATTTTATTTTTATTTTCACCAGGAGATAAAGACTCCTCTCCTAAGGAAGCAAAAAGGTCTAGAACTGACCTCTCAAGTACTATCCTGGAGAGACTAGCCATGCCCATGCATGACTTTGCTAAACCAAAACAGATAATTTCAACCCCTATTGTTGAAGCTTCAAATAAAGCAACTGATGCTACATCTACAAGTGCACCAGATGCTTTTTATGATATTGAGGTAGGTATTTCAATCTCATCTCTACTTCTGTTGGAACTTAAATTGTATTGATTGTAATGTATATGTCCATGTCTTTTATAGAGTGTTTTTGTAATGAAGAACATTGCAACTCTTCAGACCTTGCGTGCTGGAGATCTTTTGCTTGATATGTGCCTTTCATTACCCCATCTAAGTCGGTACATCCACAAATACAGAGAAGCAATTATGAAGAAGGCTTTAAGTCTTCCATCATCTCATTCTGAAGCAACTTTGATTCGACATAGCCTTCAGGCTCTTGTGTCTGACCTTTCTCTGGCATGGAGTGCTATTTCTCTCCCAGTCTTAGAACCTCTGTCTCCTGAGAAATTGGAGAAACTTAGCACATTGACCACATCATGTCTATATGCAGCTGTGTGTGTAGCTACAGCCAGTTGTGTGTTGGGCATTACTGCTGCTGGGCAGCAAAAATGTACTGGTGGTAATAGTGGAGCATCGAAAGTTGAAGAAGACAGTCTGGCTGACTCTCTATCAATTACAGTAGTTGAGAAGGCTTTGGACATGTTCAATTTGGCTTCAACTGCTATCAAGAACTCTTCAAAAGCTGGAGGTCACATACACCAGAACCATCTTTTGATTGGTGTTTGGGTTTTGACTACTGGGCTTCAGACTCAGCTTTCAGCATCAAGTTCACTGGTGCCAGAAAAAAGTGGAAGCACTAAAGATGAGAAAGGGAAGTCCCCAAGTAAAGCTCGAGAGGGATCTAATCGCATTAATTTAATGAAAGTTCAACAAGGCTTTGGTGTACTTTCTGTTGCCTTGACTTCCAGAGCTCTCACAATGATGTCTACACTTTTGGAAGATCTTCAAATTGAGGGCCCTATCAACGAATCAAGTGCTGAACGAGCAACTGTAGAGCCTGCAGGACTCTCTATTCTTGGAAACTACACTGCCTTAAACAGGGCAGCTCGATTTTTATCTGCTGCTCCTCTGAACCAGCTCTTGTATTGTGTTGCTACTATTAGTTATCGTAAAGCCTGTTCTCTGAAAAGGATCCAAAAGCATCCTCCTGAAGGTGATAATTTTAGCACTTCAGATTCAACAACTTACTATGAGGATGATTTGATAAGTTGTTCTGAGGAGAGTTCAGGTGATGATGATGATGACGATAGTGAACCTATTCTTGGCTTGTGGTTTGAGGAGACAGTTTCTGTACCTGACTCAGACAAAAGTGGTGCTGGAAATCAGAACACTAGTGAAAGTCAAGAAAACAAAGCTGCTCGTGGAGCTGATGGATCGAGTACTATTGTTCCTGATAAGGGTGAACCAAATGGCTACATATCACTTGCCACTCAAATTTTTCAGTTTATGAATACACACTTTCTCAGCAGTGAATCAGCCTACATCTGGTCATATGTTCAATCTGGTCTCACAGAGCAACAGATGGTCATTCTCGCTGCTATTGTTCGTGATTTAGACAGAGAAACAGCTCGTACTGAAACTGGTAACTATTTAAACAATTAACCTTCTTTACATTAACAGTTTGATGTGTAGGATGGGTTAATTATATTCAATTTCCTTCTTCAGGTACAATATCTGTCTACTTTGGCCCCACACTAGGACAACTGTATACTGAATTTTCTCAGGCGTTAGCCCGTTACAGTCACAACCTGCTGGCTCGGAATGTTCTCAGTCCTGCTTTGCAAGCAACACTCCTCAGTCACCTTGGTGTGAGCCCATGGGCTGCTCCTGTAGACAGTACCACATCATGCACTTCATGGCCTCTGCAAGTGTACCCCAGGACTCTCGCCATATTAGCTCAGGTACTTTTCTAAAAAAAAAAATATGAAGAGGGAACATGTAATCTCATTAGGTTGACTCCTCTGACATATCTCCCCAATGTTTCGTTCTTGTGTTTCAGGTTTTGCTGCTGAAGTCTCAACAAGACAAAGAGGCTGCATGCATCAACATATGGCACAGGCTTATCAACACATTAGTGGACAATGTTGTTAATCCTCCTCCCACTTTTGATGTTGAGAATGAAGACTTAAATGTTGAACATGCTCAACTTTTGCTTTTCCTGTTCCATTCTCTCAATTTAATGCAGAAGAAGTCAGTTCTTTTGATAACAGCAAGTGGTGTGATTCGTTGTGCAGATGTTCTAACAAACATGGGGGCCAGTTCCCCTCCAAAAGATACACAGCTGTTGCATCTTGCAAGATTGCTACTTCTGCTGGAGTACTTGGTCAAACATTTGTACGATGCTCCTCCATATCTTCTCGAACAAGTAATATGTGATACAATAAATATTGTTAGAGTTATGGTAGTTTAGAAACAAGGCATTGTGTAAAATTGTTACAACATACACTTTCAGGTCCAATGGAATCTATTCTCTGCAACTTCATTAGATGCAGACACCAGTGACAACAAAGATGGATCTCGCCTGGCATCAAGGATTTACATAGCTTGGAGTGATATTGAAAACAACTTCAGAAAGTTTGGTCCTCAAGATGAATTTTCAATGCGACCTCGATTTTATGGTCTGGCTACAGCTGAACTCAACAATCAAGATCAACCAAAATTGGATGGTCTGGTGAGTAATGTGAAACACTGTTTGAATGTATGTTTTAATTTCCAGTATTGCACTTTCTTTTCACTAATTTGTTGTTCTAGGCATGCAATTTCATTTTGGGCACTCCAGATAAACTTAAATATCCCCAGCTAATTGATGCACTTCTTCAAATTTTAAGTGTAATTGATTTAAGTGTACCTCTACCTGGTGTTACTGCTCCTAATTTTACAGCATTGTGTGCAATGCAGTACTGTTTTTCCATCAGCTGGAGGTTTGTGTTGATTTGAACTGTCTTACTGGATCGAACGTTAAAGAAATACTTTATGATTTTTGACCCTTGATGTGTTTCTAGACTACTGCTGCTCCTTCCTCCCTCAACTCCCTATATGGATAGACTTGCTCTTGGTGAAGATTTGCCATCATCATCTTTCCTCATGTACTCTTTAGTTTGGGGACTCCGCTCTGCATTCAAAACATTTTCCGGTTGGATGAAGGATTGTTTGGTGAAGCAAGGAGTATTCACTCAGTACGCCGAAAACCTTGTAAAAACTGTGTGTAAAGTTGCCGACAGTAAAGGATATGATGTGATGTTGGCTAAATCATGTATTATGGAGCTCCTACCACAAGTTCCACAAGGTAATTTATTTTTCTATCTTTAATTAGAGAATTGAATGCATTGCAGAAACTTCTTAATATCTCTTTTCATCAATCAACAGGTGGAATCATACCTCAAGAGCTTCTGCCACGTCTCTTTGACTTGTGCCTTCTAGACACTGTTATAGCTCGTGTGCAAGTACAGCTAGATGATAGACTAGCAAGACCTCCACCTACTGCAGAATCTCCCAGGTGAGCATTGTGAAGAAGTCTTTGTCCTCTTTTAGATATTTTTGTATCTTATCCAACCTTTATGTGTGGAATATAAAATACTTCTCTCTCCTTTTTAGGAACAGTGCTACCTTTTCTCCTGGTGACCTGAGTCTAAATAGCCTGCAAAATGTCATAGATCTGCTTCCTTTTGTCTTGAATTTGACGGAAGCAACCCTAGCAGCAATTAGGTCAACTTTGGTTTTCCAAATGAATGATGCTGTTGATCCAACGGACTCTGTTGACTTTCGTCAAGTTTTATCTGTAGCTTCGTCTCGTTCTCCCAAGACTAGTGTTCTTGGTTCTGCTCTCATGGTTCATTTGCCTGCTGGAGTTCGATCAACACTTGAGAAATGGAATGCATTGCCGTGTCTTGACTCCCCATGGGTATGTTGATATTGACACTTTCATACCTTATCCTTCGGCTTAGATTTTTGAGTTAATTGTAGCCATAGTTTTCAAAATATTCCACATAACAAGTGTGATTGTTTTTTGTTTTACAGAATACACATGCCAATGATTTGATTCCTGCAGAAAGCTACTGCCTCAGTGTTATAAATTCACACGTTTCATCCTTATCATCACAACAAACTTTTAATACCAATGTGTCATTGAAGCATCTATTACAGTCACTTGTTTCATTTATTGGAACTTTTGCTGATCATATTGCTTCTTTTAGCAAAAATCTGTCGGACTTACAAGCACGTGTGGTTGGCATATTAGTGCCATTAACAATTGATGCATGTACCGAGTACTTACATGATTCAGCTGTCAAAGCTCTTGAAAAGATTTTAGGAGATGCTGATTCTGAAGAGCATCTGAAAACTGTGTATTCTGTTGTTCTGGGACATGTTTTCACATTAATCAACAATTATACCATCAATAACTACACTGATCCAAAGAACCCTAACAGACCGTGGTGCGTTCCTAAAGTCACATGAATAATTTCTTCACCACTCTCCTTCTCTAATTGGCTTTTCACTGTTCCTACAGTGCACCGGTTGATTGTGGAATTCTTCAAGATTGCCTAGCCTTTTTAGAGGGCCTACTGGACAAACCTGCAGGTCCTGCAGCTTTGGAAAAATTCTTTGATCCCACATTGGGTGGTGGCGATTTGGTCAAGATACTTCTTTCTATTGCCTCTCCTCAGACCGCTCATTCCCCTCAGTATGGCACACGAGTTCTGCGGTTTTTCAATAGAATATTTGCTGCAGGTAGATTTTGTAGTCCTCTTTTATCTATTGTTTTGCATGTTTTGATGTGCTTAATAAACATTTTATTTTTTAACTCCCACCACAGAAGAGAAGAGCCAAGGTGATTCAAGCTTGGATCATCTCTGTCACACCATATCCCGTCTTGCTACTGTGGATTCTTCAATTCTTGAAACTTGGATTCGTCATGTTGTTTTGGGTGGGGCTCCGATTTCAAGCCCCTCAGCTCAGGTTGTTCCAGCCCTTCTGACTTGCACTACCTCGATTGAAAATGCTCAAAACGCAGCCAATGATACCATTGCCGAAGCTGCAAGTGAGCAAACGCCAGTGCAAACAACCATGAATGTGACAGTGCCAGCAGTTACTGGGGCAGAAGAACAACAGGCTCTTGTTCAAGAAAATGGTCTTTTATTGCAAAGCTTAACATCTTACATGGTGAAAGAGAGGGGAGCATCCTGTGAAGATGCCGCTGTAGCTCTTTTAAGGGCTATTATACCTTTTGGTTCTCAGGTTTGTTTATTGGAGTTCCTTGTGTGGAACTTTGGTTAAAAATCAATTATACTTTTCTGTAAAACCTCAAATTTTGTTTTCAGGTCTTATATCCACCATTAGAGGGAGCAGGTTTCAATGAATTGATGGGGGTAATGGCTACTCTTGCAGATGCAGGAACAGGTCGTGGTCATATTGATCTCCTTGCTGCCTGTCCTGAGTGGTTGACAATCTGTAAGGAGTACCTTTGTACCAACGAGGTCTGTATTTCAATGACCTGTGTGATATTTCTTTCGATAAGAGAGTATTTCCAGATATAAGTCCAACTTGTTTTTCTCTTTATTTTAGTCACTGGAAGCCATGGAATCACGAGAAGGGCCATCTAAGCGCCAATTGGTTATGTTTGAAGCATGCACCTGTCTTCTGGGCTACATTGCTGATGTGTTCAGCTGTCTACCACACAATTGTTCTGTTGTACACGCACCAAGAGCTACATCACCTCCATGGGAAGGCGAATCTCCACCTGACGTAGACGCTGATTGGGCTGATGAGATTGGACATGAGGATGAAGACAGTAGTGCTGAAGATTCTGTTAGTCTCGATATTATATCTAAAAGATTCCTGTCGTAAGTAGTTTCCCTCTGTCTCTGAATTAAGAAAAACAAACTATTTTCTGGTTTCAGGATGAAGACAGTTTATGTAGTAAACTATGCACGTACACAATTACTCAAAAAGAGTTCATGAATCAACATTGGTATCACTGCCACACATGTAAAATGGTTGACAGGGTTGGTGTCTGCACTGTGTGTGCAAGAGTGTGTCATCGAGGTCATGATATTACCTATGCAAAGTATGGAAACTTTTTCTGTGATTGCGGTGCTAAAGAAGATGGTAGCTGCCAGGTAATCTTCCATACATCTTCTATCTAAAATTAAACTTATGTTTTGCATTAAAAGGATGCATTGAAATGTTAAACTAACATATGAAACTAACTCATTATGTGTGTTTTAATCCCAGGCCCTTGTGAAACGTAGCCCTCAGTCATCCAATGAGCAACAGGTAAACCAGATAAATAGCACCATTGAGCGTGCTGCCAGTAATTCTGCAGCTGGGGCTTCTGGAACTCAAGGAGTGGAGCAAATGCTGCAAAGTTCCCTACGCCGCCGGGCCTCATCTCCAGTTAATCTTGACAAAGTGCACATAGCTAAAGAAAATATGCGGCTTAATGTTCTTCATGAAAAGCTCGGTAATTTATCAAATTAGATTGAAATGTAATACATTTTAAATGTACACTAAAAACTGCTTGGAAGTTCAACTTAATATTGTTTTCAATTTCAGATCATCTACGAGAGCCCTTGATGCAAATAGTATCAGAAAACAGCATGGCTTCAACAATGCTTGAGCTCTTGAACAACCTCATACCAGCCGTTGACCTCATGTGTCAGCTTGTTTCGCCTGTTGGCTGCCATCAGCGTTGCCAGATTGCCATGAAAACTCTGCACATGATTCCTAAAAATTACGAATACAATGATCAGCTTATGGTCCCCACCCTTGGTTCTCAAGAGGGAGCCTTCGAAAATGTGCGCATGAATTATTCTGGTGATCAAGGCCAGACAATCCGACAGTTGCTCTCAGCTCACATGGTTCGTCGTGTGGCCATGTGTTGTTTATCATCACCTCATGGTAAACGTCAGCATCTGGCTGTTTCGCATGAGAAGGGGAAAATTACAGTACTGCAGCTGAGTGCACTCCTGAAGCAGGCAGACGCGTCTAAGCGCAAGCTAACCTTGACAAGACTTGCATCTGCTCCGATTCCTTTCACTGTGCTTTCTGTGACTGGCAATCAATGGAATGAGGACTTCCTTGCAGTATGTGGCCTGAAGGTACAAAGTTATTACTTAAACCAAATTAATCTATCTTTAAATTGTATAATGTGAATGACCCATAATTTGAACACTCTCTGTCTATCTTTTTACAGGAATGCCATGTTTTGACATTCAGCAGTGCTGGATCTGTTGCAGAACACCTTGTTTTGCATCCTCAACTTGAAACTGGCAATTTCATAATACGAGCTATCTGGCTCCCAGGCTCTCAAACTCAGCTTGCACTTATAACTGCTGACTTTGTAAAAATTTATGATTTAAGCAAGGATGCCTTGAGTCCTCAGTACTATTTCTTAGTTCCCACTGGGAAAATTCGAGATTGCACTTTTGTATGCACTGAGGTAAGTGATTCATTCATGACAATCTGTCCATCCTTTTTTTTTCACCATTAGGTAAGAGTTCAAACCATGTGTCTGTCTTCTAATCTACTCTATTTGCAGGACAATGTAATGCACATGATGCTAATGTCATCGGCAGGCTATATCTATAGTCAAGCAATGGATGAAGAAAGTCAGGCAAAACATGGGCCATTTTACGTGACAAATACATTGGATGTAGTTCACACTGACATACGGGTATGTTGCCTATTTGAGAATATACTTTGCACTCTAGGTAATTTTTTAGCTAAATGAAGTGTCGTTCTTATTTACTTTACAGGAAAATAATGGTCAAGTGTGTGGAGGTGGAGTGTCCATCTATTACTCCCATGTATTACAACTACTTTTCTTCAGCTATGCACAAGGCAAAAGCTTTACTGGGCATTTGCAACACTCTAAAGGAGAATGGACAATGCCAGTAATATTCCCGATTTTGCTAAACAACAACTCCAACAGCAAAGCAAGCACCAACTCCAGTGGAAATTCAACAAGTGGAACTTCTAACGGAGGAAATAAGCCAGCTTCCCAACCACTTTGTCAGTGGAGTGAGGTTCCCAACCATCCAGGCTTAGTTTGCAGCTTGTTGCAAAGCAGTAAGTCCTGATTTGATTCATCAACTTTGTACAGAGTTGATACATTTTTATTATTTTAAAATTTTACTTGACAACAATAAGTTAAGAAACCAAATCACCCCTATTTATTTTTATTCTTTTTATTTTAGGTAACAATCCAGTTATATTGATGATAAAACCTGACAGTATACTGGTTCAAGAAATTAAAGTGGTTCCTGCAAAAGCTAAAATAATGGATATGGTTGCCCTTAGACATCCATCTTCTCATGCAGATCATCGTACTACCCTAATATTGCTTTGTGAAGATGGTAGCCTTCGTATTTACATGGCCTCTATGGAATACACAGGTTTCTGGCTCTCTTCCTTGGTTCAAGCTACTAGCCCAATTGCCAACTTAAAATCAGCTCGCAAGAAAAAGGCAGTTAAGACTGTGAAGCCCTCAGGGCAGATATCATTCCCAGTTGACTTCTTTGAACATTGTCAGGCCATGAATGATGTTGAGTTTGGAGGCAATGATTTACTTCTGATTTACAATACTCAACAAATCAAACACCGACTAAATACAGCTGGGATGTATGTTATGTCCACCAAACCTACTGGTTTTACTCTTGAGATTTCAAACTCTGACAACTCATTAGTAATGACGGGTCTGAGAGTGCTCCTCGGAAGTCAGGATCAAACAAGAGCTCCCTCATATGTAGAAATATTTGGCCGAAGTATACAAACCACCATCACACGGAACCGTTGGTTTGATATTCCTTTCACTAAAGAGGAATCCTTACAAGCTGATAAAAAGATAAGTGTTGTATTTGGTCCATCAACTGATCCGGATGGTGTGACTATGGTGGACTCAGTAAAAGTTTATGGTAAAACCAAAGATGCCCTTGGTTGGCATGAAGAGCAAGAGGAGAATGTCAATCCCACTCCAGCACCACCAGCAACTGGCACCCCAACTGAGAATGATCCATTAGGAAATCCTGTGTCACTTCCTCCACTGAATCCCTTGGACAGAATTGTATCAGGTCTTTTAGAAGTGCTGGAAGGTTGTTTTACTGTCACCAGTCACCTGCCGTTAGATGACACTCGGCTCGACCAGCGCTCCAAGGCACTTAGCTTAGCCACAACACTTCTTACCCTGCCTACTCCGGTATTTGTCCAAATGTGTACCAAGACTCTTATTTTTGCCCTTCATTCAAATCGCAATTCTTACCACAGCTATAAAGTGAGTACTGGCTGTTGTTCTATTAATATCTGAAATTTACTTTATGTGCATTGTACTATTTCTTATCTTTTGTTAACTTTTAATCCAATTTTGCAGGATCATGCCCTGTTAGTTTTTGTGCAACAGTCTTTGGCTCATCTTAAAACTGTACAAGATCCAAGTGATCTAGATGCTGAAGCATTTTACCGGCTGGTTCTTATTACCCGAGGTGTAGCTGTTACAAGACCTCACAACTTGGCTAAGTTTGCTGATACACGTGTACAGTATGATAGATGTCTTGTTGACTCAACTACTAATGAGCAGGAGAAACCCAAACCTGATGATTCAAACCATCTTCTGACGCACATGATCTCAATACTATGGAAGTTGCATGGTTGCCACCCAACAAACCTTGCTCTAGCACCTGTCTGTGTTCCTGGCTTGACTCATGTTGAAGCTACTGTCCATGCCATGGTTGAAATTATTCATGCATTCACGCTCAGTGACATGGAAGGCACTATTGGTCTTGCTGCCCAAATGTACCGTGAAATGTTGATGCACTCGGATCCAGCTGTCAGTTTCAGCGCTAAACAAGCCATGTGTCGCGTGCTACGACCACGATCTCGTCGACGCCGGGTTTACATCCCCAGTCCACCACACTGTAGCACTCCGGGTAAGTTACATATTAATGCATCTGTGTTCTTACTCTTCTGAAAAGAAAAAAAAATATTTTTACGTCACAAACACTATATTCAGACCCCTTAACGTTGTATCCTGCCAGTAAACTGTCCTATTAACTCTTACAAAATATAATTTGACCTATAGGGGGTACAACTGAGATGGAATCTGAGAAAGGGCCGGTGTCACAACCCTCCCAAGATTCTTCTGAAGCTGAGCCACCACACTTTGAGGTGGATCAAGTAGAGCCACTGATGTTGCTGCAAGCAGATGGTGAGATCTGTAGGATTTCATGGCTGCCTTCATGGCATGCAGCACGCTTGGCATAAAGTGTAAAGACTCTAATTTACTAGCTTCATCTCTATCTATGGACACTTACTAACTTCAGCTAAATATCATGCATCTACTTTGAAAGTAGGAATACAGCCTCTGCTGCACTTTTCTTCAGTCATGTTTTTCCACTCCAAAATGGTTTTGAAAACTTTCCAGTCTAGTATTTAGTTTGATTTTGCAAAAAGAGAGCTTAGTGCTTTAAGACAAAGGAGATTTTGCAGCAGCTTCTGAATCACTGCTAGTTCTACTAATTTTGAAATCACATTCCACCCTGTTCTCTTTTACAAAATAAACTTTTTCATGCTCTACTTTTAGATTTTCGAAATTCATCATATGTGGATGTGGAAAGTATCTTAAAGGTTTCATCATCATAATGCTATACATCATTTCAGTCACCTTGCTTCTGGGACTAAGTCTGCTCTCTAGCTCTTTCCTTTTGTGCAATATTTCATCCATCTTTTCCAGGACCATGCTCAATAACTCCATCTCTCCATACTTATCAGCATACCAACAATTAGTTTGCTTTCTCATTACGCTTGTGATGCTACTAAGCGTACAACATTTTTCTCCTACCTTGATGTATGTAATATATTTGATTTTACTTTTAAATCTACAGGAGCTCCTGCCCAACCAGCCGTTGGGCCTGTTGCAGCAGTTGCCCCAGCTGTTTTGAATGTTAATCAAATGGAGGGGCTCTTAGTTGGGGCTCTTGGAGGTGCGCTTGGTGGAGCGCTGGGTGGAGCCCTTGGTAATGTCCCTGCAGGGTTTGCTCCTCTATTGGACATACCACCAGATGCAGACGATGAAACAATGGTTGAACTGGCTATTGCTCTCAGTTTGCAGGTATTTCATTAGGAATCTTTCTCTCTTCTCCCTCTCTCACCCTTTTTTTTTTTACATTCTTTTATTTCATGTTGTAATTGTTATTTTGGTTAAGGACCATGATGGGGCTGATCTCCAAAATCTTCAGCAAGGACTTGCTAACCTGGGCGGAAATCTTCAGGTATGATTCTTGCTCACAAGATTTAATTCTAATTTACAAACCCTTTGTTACTAAATACTAAATCTATCTTACCTCAGGGGTTAGCTCAAGGACTTGTCCAAGTTGGACTTGCAGCACAGGCTGAAGCTGTCCAAGCAGAAGCAGGACATTACTCTGATACAACTGCTTCAGCTGGTGGTTCAGATGATGAGGGATCAACAGCAGCCACAGATGGCAGCACTCTTCGTACTTCTCCAGCAGAACAGGTATGTCTTATCCTCAATTAATTAACGTGTTTATAATTTTATCTTTATTTCTATCATAATATTCCATTTTACTACTGGTGCAGGGTGGAAGTGCTGGATCCGAGAGTGGTGGTAGTGGTGTGGACAGCATAACTGGTGAACACAATGTATCAGGAAGAAGTTCAGCCTATGGGGACAACATGCAGGAGCCTTTGGTTGGTGCCAGAAGTGAAACTAGCTCATTAGGTGTGCCAACAGGATTCCAGGTAAGTTATAATTCCTTACATGTAACATGTCTTTCTATGGTTATTTTCGTGTATAACAACTTTACAGTATAATAAAGAGAAACACTAAATTTCATTTTTATCATTTAAAACAAATATTCTTTAGGTTCATGAAGGAGATGGCATACTAGAACCAGAACAAGATCATGAACCAGACACTGAAAATTCAACAAGGTTGCATCAACTGCGACTTCAGCTTCTAGAACGTCTGTTGGAATATGTGCCAGAACTGAAGGATGTTGGAGGCGTTCGTTCCATCCCCTTCATGCAGGTCTGTGTTATAAATGACTAGTTATTTGCCTGAATGAAGGATTTGGAGTTGATAGAAGCATTTTCATTCTTCAGGTTCTTTTGATGCTTGCTTCTGATCTTGATGGAGAAGAGGAAAAAGATCGTGCATGCTTAGAAAACATGCTTAATACAATTATTGGGGAGTTGAATATGCGTAAACCTAACAACAAGTATGTGTCGATTTACCAACGCTCAAATGAGAGAGAGGTTCATCTGGTCATCATGCGCCTCTTAAGTATGTTATATTTGCACAATTGATATATTGTCAAATCAATGTTGTTGAAGTGAAATGAAATGGACATATGTTGTCTCCATTTTGCAGGTGTATTGATGTCAAGATCCAAATCAAGTACAAAGTCAAATCATGACAGTTCAGCATTTGCTGCTCAAATGTGTGCAGTTATGCTATTCCAAGCAGGTGTTATTGACTACTGTCTGAAGCTTCTGAAAGCACTTTTAGCTTACTGGAAAACGTATGTTAAAATACCTACAGTCAATTTTGTCATTTTGATTTTTACCGTTTTCTTTCTAAAACATCTCAAACATGTTATGTTGATAATTTTCAGGACTGCACCAGAGGAACCAGCTAATACACCAGGTTCTTCATTACTCAAACCACATTTACCTACTTCACCACCTGACATGTCACCTTTCTTTTTGCGTCAGTATGTCAAGGGGCATGCAAATGATGTGTTTGAAGCCTATCCTCATTTACTGACAGAAATGGCTTTAAGGCTTCCCTATCAAGTTCAGAAGCACTTGGACAATTCTCCTCCAATTCTTATTACATTTGAGCAGGTAACAATATGTAAAATTACAGCAGTGATTACAGTTGTTGATTACAGTTCTTTACTTTTTTTGTTTACACTTTCTCATTACATCTTTTTAGGCTTGGTTTTACTATCTCTGTGAGTACATGATGACCCAACAAACACCTTTTGTACGACGCCAAGTCCGTAAACTTCTTATGTTCATCTGTGGAAACAAAGACAAATACCGTCAGTTACGGGATCTACATTCTCTTGCAACTCATGTAAAGGTGGGTACCCACCATTTTTAGTAGGTAATCATATATTATATTTACTCGTTCTTTCTTTCATAAGTATATTATTCTTTCTAGGCTGTAATGCAGTGTGTTGGTGAAAGTAGCAGTCCAGACTCACCAACTCCTCCTTCATTGAATTGGGTGCAACTACCATATGACACTTTAGTGGGGCTGGTTGAACAACTCAAAGCATGCGTTGAAATTGCCACAAGTCGTACTCTGAATTGGCAGAGGTACTGTCTGGGGGATGATCACATTTTGCCTTTCCTTCTTCGAGCGGCATGCATGCTTGATGAAGCTGTTGCGCCACCAATTCTTCAGTTATTGGAATGTGCTGTGTGTTCTGCTAAGGTCAGAAATCATTCTTATGTTTAAAAACTGTACCTATTATCAATTTTAGTCAATAATTATATAATTGATTGTATTATTTGAATTTTTAGGAAATTAAACAAGCAGCTGCAGCCGCTGCTGCTCAGTCAGCCAACCCCAGCGCCCCTGCTGCAGTACCTCCTCCACCTGTGCTAAGGAAGGACCGAGAAAAATCTGATGATTCTGATCTTGAACAACGTTTTGAAGATGCTCAGTGTGTCACCCTTATTAAGCAGATCAACACACAGGTTAGTAACTGTAGTCTGATTTTCCAATTTCTATCTCTCTTTACTTGTGTTCAGAACCTTGAAGTGTAATCTATTTCCTACATTTTCTCCTTTGTAGGTTCCACAAGAGCAGATTTCACAGTTCATCAAAACTTTCCTTTTGGAGACCAATGCAACATCAGTACGTTGGCAAGCTCATGCCCTAATCTTAGCAATATACAAGAACTCTTCAGCAACAGAGCAGGAGAAGCTGCTGGATCTGATGTGGCAACTTTGGCCTTTACTACCAGTTTATGGAAGGAAGGCTGCTCAGTTCGTAGACCTGCTTGGTTATTTCTCCTTATGGACTCCGCTATCTACTCAAAAGGTGTGGTTTCTTCCAAATTTTACTTGCCTAATCACATTATACTTACAATCAATCTTAATTTTTCTATTTACATGTTTGCTTATCTACATTTCAGAGGACTGAGTACATATGTTCTGCTGTTGGAGTTCTGCGTACACAAAATCAGTTACTAGCTCATCATCCTAATGCAAGCCTATACAGCCATTTAGCACAGTATGTTGAACTGGATGGTTATTATCTAGAAAGTGAGCCTTGCCTTGTTTGCAATAATCCAGAACTTCCAATGACAAGCATCAAATTGTCAGGAATAAAGGTATACCTCATGATATTGTCTGAAGGGAATCATAAATATTTTCACAATTTTGTTCTAACAAGGTTTTGATATTCTTTATAGATTGATTCTAAGTTCACAACCACCACTCAAATTGTGAAGCTTGTTGGAAGTCACACCATTAGTCGTATCACTCTAAGAATTGGAGACTTAAAGCGCACTAAAATGGTCCGAAACATTAACATCTATTATAATAACCGCACTGTTCAAGCTGTAGTGGAGCTAAAGAACAAGCCAGGTGTGTTAATTTTTGCATTGTATTAATCTAAGAGCAATCTTCAAAACTTTTGATCTTATAATTGAATGTGTTCATTTACAATTCCATTTAGCTATGTGGCACAAGGCCAAAAGGGTCAGCCTTGTTTCTGGTCAGACCGAAGTAAAAATTGAATTTCCTCTACCAATTGTTGCTTGCAATCTCATGATAGAGTATGCAGACTTCTATGAAAATATTCAGGCCACATCAGAAACCCTACAATGCCCTAGATGTTCTGCATCAGTTCCAGCAAATCCTGGAGTATGTGCCAATTGTGGAGAAAATGTATTCCAATGTCACAAGTGCAGGTGTGTTTCTCTGATTGACAATCAACTATTTATCTATATTCAATGATCTCTGAATGCACACTATAAAAGCTATTTTGACTACAGAGCCATCAACTATGATGAGAAGGACCCATTCTTGTGCCATGCATGTGGATTCTGCAAGTATGCAAAGTTTGATTACACCTTGACCGCTAGACCTTGTTATGCAGTGGATCCTATTGAGAATGATGATGACCGAACAAAGACTGTTGCTACAATCAATTCTCATTTAGAAAAAGCGGATCGTGTGTACAAACAACTCATCAGTAACAAACCTACACTTGAGGTGAATAGACTATTTTTATTTTTATTGTTTTTGGTCTCTTGCTATTTAGGAAAGCTTTCTATAAGTGTAATCTACACTGTACCTAGAGAGCAATTGAATTTAACTGTACCTGTTTATTTCTAGATGTTCCTTCTAAAAATTAGTGAGCATCGTCAAGATCGCTCATCTGATGAAGCTTCTACTACCACTGGCAGTTCAGGTGTTGGAGGCACTCAAGTAAACAGGGCCATTCAGTTATTGGCCCAGCGCTATTGTGGAGAGTGCAGAACTTCATTTGAGGAGCTAAGCAAAATAATACAGGTAGGTTCCATGAAATGTTTTTATATCTATGCTCCTGGTACCTAGTACTTAACGATCTCACACACCCTTTTTTTTTTTTTTTCTTTTTTTTTTAAATGTTTGTAGCGAGTTCTAGCATGTAGAAGGGAGTTAGTTGCATATGATCGCAACCAAAGAGAACAAATTCCGACTGTAATAGAGAGATCTGGCAGCCTAACAAGCTCAACAAACACCATTGATCTATCATCTTCTATGACTACTGACTCTTTGTCAACTACTGCAAGTCCATCTGCAGGTCGTTGTTATGGCTGTGCTTCAGCTGCTACTGAGCATTGTTTGACTCTCCTTCGTGCATTAGCCTGCAGTAATGTATCTAGACAAGTTCTTTGTTCTGAGGGCTTGGTTGCTCAACTTGCTGAAAACAATCTCCGCCGAGGCACTGTTCAGGTAAGCTCGTTTACTTTTGTATATGTTTTCATTTCTTTATTACTTTTAGTCGTGCTGCAACTTACTATGTAAAACATTTCATCTTATGTAATTAATTGTTATTTTTGTCCCAGGTTCAAGAAGAAGTCCGTCAATTATTATGTTTACTGACGAGGGATAACCCCAAGGCCACCGAGGAGCTTTGTGCTCTTCTTATGGATCGCATTGCTCTTACTTTAAGAGGTCACCTAGCAAGTGCTGACTTGTCTGCTTCAGTGCGCCATGAAATGGCCCTTTTGTCAGCCTTAGTACACAAAGAAGATTCATGCTGGGAACAAAAATTGAGGTTTGCACTTTTCAAAAGTTATCAACAGGTATATTTTGTTTTAACCTTTGCAGTTTTAAGTTCTACTATATATTTTTTTTTGGCAGATGTGTCATGCAATTGTTTTTGATGGCATGTAAAGATTCTCACTCTCCTGTAGTTTTAGAGTCCATTACTCTACCATGTCTCAAAATACTATCAGCTTTTATTAAACCTGGTCAACCCAGCTCCAAAAAGAACAAGGTAAGCTCAAACTTAAATTCAATGGAGATTTTGTTTTGTCCCTATATTACTATGTTCAGCCTCTACTTTTTTCTTTCAGGAGAAGATGATAGGTGATTTAGCTACGATCACTCCTGTTGATGGTGTTGTTGTGGACGTCCGCAAATGGCTCAATGGGGATCCAAAGCATTCTTACTCTTCATGGCACAAACATATGCCGAGGCGCAATAGTGACACTCCTCCACCAACAAACAACGGACAGACTCTTTCCAAAGTGGAGGCAAGAGCACAATACCTTATGGAAAAATATGGCCAAAGGTGGAGGCAACGAACTCTTTGCCATGCCATGCCTCTTAAATTGACTGACACAGCATGGCTGAAGCAAGTCCTTTTTAATCCAAGCTCTCGTCTGGCAAGGATTGTAGCCTGTAGTATGCTTGAAGGACTATGTCGAGTACCTGCTTGGAAGAAAGACATTTTAGATCTGCTCACAGGCTTCCTGGGTGAATTGAGCTCAGCAGGAGAAAGTGCCTCAGATTTTCTAGCTTTATATCAAAGTTTGCTTTATCAAGCTCCTTGGAGACAATACCTGGCTGTGAAAGGTGTTCTTCTGCATCTTGCTGACTTGCTCACCAAGGAAATTGAAATTTTACACCGCTTAGAGGACACTACACTCACCTCTGACTTGGCTCAGGGGTATGCCTTAAAGCGCTTGACAGAGCTGCTTGCTTCATTTCTGGTTGAAGAAAATATTAAACAACAATTTAAAGGACGTTTGGTGGGAGCTGTCCTCAATGGCTACCTTTCTCTGCGACGATTAGTTGTCCAACGCACAAGACTGATCGATGATACTCAAGAAAAACTTCTGGAATTATTAGAAGAGATGACAAGTGGTACAGAAGAAGAAATAAAGGCTTTCATGAAGATCTGCATAGAAACTGTTCAAAGGTGTAGCATTCAGGATGTTCGCACGCCTGTTTTCATTTTTGAAAGACTCTGCTCTATAATTTTCCCTGAAGAAAATGATGTAGGGGAATTTTTCCTTTCTTTAGAGAAAGATCCTCAGCAAGAAGATTTCCTTCAAGGCCGCATGTTAGGTAACCCTTATAGTAGCTCAGAGCCAGGATTGGGGCCACTAATGAGAGATGTCAAGAACAAAATTTGCCAAGACTGTGAACTTGTTGCTTTACTTGAGGATGACAATGGAATGGAGCTGCTAGTCAACAACAAAATTATCAGTTTAGACCTTCCTGTTCGTGAAGTTTATAAGAAAATCTGGGTTGCAGAGGGAGGAGATGGTGATGTTATGAGGGTTGTGTACCGTATGCGTGGTCTGCTTGGCGATGCCACTGAAGAATTTGTTGAGACACTTCATGCAAAGAGTGAGCAGGAAGTAAATAATGAAGAAGCTTATAAAATGGCCAATGTCATGGCCGAGTGTGGAGGACTGAAAGTAATGTTGGATCGGTTAGCTGCTGTGAAAGATACTTCTAGATCTCGACCCCTTCTTCAAGTTTTACTGAAACTCTTTAGGCTTTGTGTGAAGGTTTGCCGCAATCAAGAGGTACTTACACAGCCTGAGTTAGGTGCTATGACCATCTTCCTTCAAACTCTCCAATTGTGCCTTACAGCTGAAACAGCTTCTCTCACTCAGCAGCTATTAGACATCATGGAGACTGTTCTGTCTAAAGCTGCATCTCAGCCTTTATCATCTTTTGAAAGGTTTTCTCAGACTTTTGGTGGAACAGAGCATATAGAGTCCCTCCTCACTTGCACAACAGCGCCAGCCACACGCAATAACTCATCTGTGATCCTTCACCTTGCAAGGGTTCTTGCTGCTATAACATACGGCAATGAGGAGAAAATGGCTCTTCTCTGCAATCATTTCCAATCAGCACTCGATTTTAATCGTTTTGATTATGAGCACACCTCTGATGATGAGCACAAAGTGGAGCTTTTCTGTATCTTAACTGCTGGCATAGAAAGAAATGCCATTGGAAACACCTTAAAAGATCACATCATTTCTTTGAATATTGTGAAAAATGCCTTAGAATATATAACCAGTCATGCTCCTTGTGTTAAACCTACTTTACTACGCACAGACAGTGAGGAATGGAAAGAGTATATATCTAAACCTGCCTTGAAATATGTGCTTCGATTTTTAACTGGCTTGGCAGCTGACCACCCTGCTACGCAACTTGCTGTAGCAGCAGAATGCATACCTATCATACATCGCTTGGAACAAGTTTCCTCAGATGAACATGTGGGATCTCTGGCAGAAAATCTGCTTGAGGCTCTGCGCACTCATGCAGGTGTTGCAAGTCGCATTGAAGAAGTCAGGGAGCAGACCAGAGCTGAAAAGAAGCGATTGGCCATGGCTATGAGAGAAAAGCAGCTGGGTGCCCTCGGCATGCATACCAATGAGAAGGGACAAGTTACGGCTAAAAGTACTATGATGCAGCAGTTAGAAGATCTAGGTGAAGAAACTGGCTTGGTTTGTGTAATTTGTCGTGAGGGCTATAAATTCCAGCCTAACAAGGTTTTAGGAATATACACTTTTACCAAGCGGTGTAATGTTGAGGAATTTGAAAGTAAGGCACGGAAGACAGTTGGGTATAGCACTGTCACTCACTTCAATGTGGTCCATGTTGACTGTCACATGAGTGCAGTACGCTTGGCGCGAGGGCGCGATGAATGGGAGTCTGCTGCTCTCCAAAATGCCAATACCAAGTGTAATGGATTGTTACCTCTTTGGGGACCACAGGTTCCAGAATCTGCCTTTGCTAGTTGTCTTGCAAGACACAATACCTACTTGCAGGAATGCACAGGCCACAGGTATAGTCACATATTTCTTTAGACTTCTCTCCTAATTGTTTTTATTTCTCTAGTGACTGATACACTAATTTCAATTTTAAACAGAGATATCAGCTATTCCTCAACTGTTCATGACCTCAAGCTGCTGTTGCTTAGATTTGCTCAAGAGAAAAGCTTCCATGATGACACAGGTGGTGGTGGTCCACAGTCTAATATGCACATAATTCCATATCTTATTCACATGGCCCTTTATGTCATCAACACGTAAGTAATTAAATTATCTTGCTTAAATGTATGTTTTTAGAATGCCTTTTAAACTTTTGTTTGTTTAAAGAACTCGTTGTGGTGCAAGAGAGGAGAAGACATTGACAACTTATGTAGAAACTGCACCTAATGAAAGATGGGTTGAAATGAGCTATGCTGCTGATGGGCCATTGTATTGGATGGTGCTGTCATTGCTCCTACATTCACCGTCTCGTTGGCAAAGTACAAGAATTGCTCATTTGAAACGAGCAATTGCAACTGCTCAGATCCGACATGTGTCACCTGCCCCATCTGGCGCTAGTGGCAATGCCAAGTTAGCAGATTCTTCAATAAAAGACTATGCAGTTTATAAACCATATTTAATTTTCTTTGGTCTGGTTGATGGAATTTATGCCAACTGTTTAAAGGTGAGTGAAAAGGAGTATAAATAAAATTAAAATTCTTCTTCAACACGTTCAGTGCGGCGTGACCCACACAGTGGGTCCCAATAACATGTAATTGCCCACCCCCGCCGCACTCAACGTGTTAACATCTAGTTAATAAATAGGAGGTAAAATTTTTGTTGGTTAAAACATTGTCTTGGTATTACAGAAAGTGTCAATATCAGCATCAGAAGATCAATGGCCTTCTGTACTAGCAGATTATATCAGGCATAATGATGAAGCACTTATCAAAGCATCTGAGCGCCTCATGGCTTCATACCGTGAGGAACTCTTGCCATGTTCTGCATTTGATGAGTTTTGTGATGTTGCCAGTAAGTATATTCGACAATACCATATGATAGTTCAAATACTTAATTTTAAACCACTGATTAAACTTTATTTTTCCTATTTAGATCTTTTGGAGGAAATTCCCAACCCAATGCTGTTCTTGGAAGGAGTTCTTCAAAGCTTGACATAACACATCTTTGGGAACCTAGTCTATAAAGCATGTATATAGTTTTGAACATGTGACTTAAATTATTGTTATGCATTAAAAATTTAAAAGAAGTGATACTTTAGGTTTTGTGCTAAATAGCCACATATATTGTGTGCTGAAGACCAATCCCCATGTTTTACACCCTTTTCTAACAATTCTCTGTATGTTGAAATTATAAGGAAATGTGTTATTGTACTGTTATTTTTGTGATGTTATTCATGTACTATGTTATTATTGCATATGGATGACAGTGTGCTACCTGCCTTCCCCATAAAAATGTTTTGAATAATGTATAGCTGATTGGCTACTTGTGGACTTCCTCTTTGTTCTTCATTTTTATTTTAACTTAACAGCTTGCATTTAAGTGCTGTAGCTCAAACGCACTGTGATGCTTTTGTGTTATGTGATTAAGTATTATATGTGCAATAATATTATTTACTATTTATTTTTTATCACCCTCGCTCATTTCCTATTACACCTATGTTTTACACTGTCAACTTCCATTTCACAGACGTAAGTTGGATATCTAGATTAATAGAAGTCCATAGTACACCTGTAACAGGGGCGATAGGCAAGCCGTACAGTACAACAGTACAACCACAGGGGTGCGCCGTGCACCGGGGTAATCAGCCACCTGGTATTTCGTATGAAAAATAAATTAAAAAAAACGAAGAAACACAGAGTTGCATGAAAATTATGGGGGTACTTCGTTGGATCGAGGTCTAGACCTGGGTGACCTGGGTGCGCGTTTAGGTGCACTTGGTGTATATGTACGCCTCCCGGCGTGACCGGGGCGGCGTAGGGTGACGCCCGGCGGATAGGCCACCTATCGCCCTTTCAACTTATTGCAAATGTGGCTGCTTTAGAACTCTCTAGACAGACTTCAAGAAAATAAAATGGGCATGTATTCTCACACTTGTCCACAGGTTATACCATGTCTGTCTGCACAACTACTGACTGATAAAAAGAAAGAAAATCTGGATAACGAATAATGGAGTGGAGCTGAGGAGAGAGGGGAGGGGGAAGCGGCAGCGTCCACGATGCACGACGTCAGCAAAGTGGAGGGGGCAGAGAACAAATGCTATCGTATACTAAAAGAGCGCAATGAGACGTCTCTCTACATCTGCCTCCATAGCTCAGTGGTTAGAGCACCAGTCTAGTAAACTGGGGGTCGAGAGTTCGATTCTCTCTGGAGGCATATAATTTTAATCCTACGAAACTCGAAAATTCTGTTCAGTTATAGTACCGGAAGGAAAAAAAAGATTCGTACGGTGTGAAATCCTTTGTGGGGTGTTGAGAAACAAATGTAATGATCTAAAAGGAAGAGTAATCACCCCTACATCAATGACACATTAAATTGGCGTAATGAGCACTGAATCCTCTGACGCACTTTGAAAGCGTCACCAATGTGATACCTCGACAAAGGAATCTAGGCCATGCGCTTAGAAATGTACATAAAAGGTGACACATTAATGCGCTTAGAAATGTACATAAGAGGTGACACCTTAATGACACATTAAATTGGCGTAATAAGCACTGAATCCTCTGACGCTCTCTAAAAGCGTTACCAATGCGTTATCTTTCCTGTGCATTTTTACGTGCATCAAAGTGTATGTATTTGACACTTCTGGATGTGGTAATAGAATATCATCTTTGAGATTTGAAAACAAAATGTAATTCTATTATTAGAACATTTAATTTCTGTTAGCAACTGGAGAAATAAAGTACACTTAGACTCCATCCGAATTCTCATAAGTCCGGTCCATTCTGTTTCCTTTCGTATCTGTTTCACCACCCCCTCACCTAGAAAAGACATGAAAGGAAATGGAATGGAAAGGACTGAATGAGAATTCGGACGGAGCCTTGCTAGTAGTAGTACACAGATATAAGATACATTCAAAATATTTTACATAATTACACATCCTTTCTTAAAATAAGTCACAGTCAGGACACAAATATTCACAATAAGAAAGTTATTGACTTGAGCAGAGAAGGTATCAGAAAAACATTTCTGTACTTGCAAATTTTAAAAAAAGTAAAAAAAAAAACCTTGCATACCCATAGCTCAATGATTTTTTAAAAATCACATGAAATATCACTTATTCATATTCAGTACTTTAAGACTTTTGCCAAAATTTAGCACTGCTGCTGCGCAAATTTTTAACCCTAAATCCCTTTTTAGATTTGTCTGATGAATGACTTCCATGGCCAGATGCTTCTCTCATGTCTGTATTCATAGCTTCATCTGAATCTTGAGTCTGAGTTTTTAAGGTCTTTTTAATGTTTGCTACCTGCAATTGGAGATGTATGAGAGTAGAAGTACAAAATCACATTAACAACTGCATCCTTTAACAAATTCAATGTAAAAGCTCAACATACCTCTTGTTCTATGGCTTCTTTGTGTTTCAAGGATTTATTTTTCTGGGAATTTGCCTTCTGTATCTGGGATTCAACACAAACAAGAACAGCCTCACAGGCATCACACCATGCCTGGAGAGTTGAGCTGATATGAGCCAAATCACCGGGCTGTGTGTCTCTTCCAATAGCATAATCAAGCTCAAGCTGACTATTGCGCTGGTCTAATTTGCCATGAATGATATCTGTAAATTTTTAGCAAAGAATAAATAATTGCAAAGAAAACTTAAGAATAGATCTCTCAAAAAGTTCGGAGCTTGTTGCTTACCTGAGTATATTGCTTCTATTATCAGATCTTCCAAATCACGAACATTTTTAATGTCTAATTCTTGCAAGAGAACAGAATATGGAATACACTGAAAAATGGAAATTTTACATGTAATTAATAATGAAATAGAGCACATTCTGCAATGACTTTATGTGAGGCACTTCAATCAGATCAATTAAAGGTATGACATTACCTTCATTTTAGTAGCCAGACTAACAATGGTAAGATGCTGCAACTTCTTTTTCATGACTGGTGTTAGCTCTGGCAATTTATCTTTGACATCAATGTATTCTCGAAAGGTCCCATAAGCAAACAGCCTCAACAGCTCAAAGTACATTGAATGAGGGCCATTGGCAAGCTGATAAAGGTGAAAAGATTATTCATTACGATTTGAAGGGTTGGTTCAAAGTATCCAATTCAAAAAAAAAATTCATTATCCTCATACTTTACCTCTTTGATACTGTCAGTATCGAGAAGTTCTCCAAACACATGAACTCCTGGAGCTTCAAGAACTTGTTTCACTAACTCTACTGCAGCTGCACCACGAGCTGATTTAGCAAGTACAACGAATTGTTCAAGAGGATTGCTGCTTCCAGGACAGCGCTCTTGCTCTTTTTCTTTGTCCATTTGCATTTCACAACTCATCTTGACCTAAATGTAAAAAGAGAAAGATATTAAAAACGCATTTCAGGGAAGGTTGGGGTAGGGCAATGTAGTTAAATCAGTATCGGCGATTCAGTGTCAAAATGACGTTTCGTTATCGAAAGAAAGGACAAGAAGCGGCGACGACCATAACCCCTTCCCGACATTAACTAAGTAAATTTCGTCTTGGAAATAGAAGTATTTAAGGAAAACAACAGAACAGAAAATTCAAATAAGAAAAGATCATACCTTACGTTAGATTTCCAACGAAATAGTTGTCAACTTCCAACAATAAAAACAAGAGAGAGAAGGAGAGATTGCTGTAACGTTCCACCACACCACAACCACAACCACAAATACAACCGCCGCCGCAACAGCAAACAACCGAAACTTGAGGAGTCGCTACAAGGCTACGAATAATTCTGCGAATAATGCTGGCAGTACCAGCGGAGGCTACAAAATTTGTTGATACAATCTCTCGGCTTTGTGAGCTTTTGAGCTGGGAACACAAGGATCATTTCTAGATAGGTTGAATTTTATTATAATGACATTTTAATGGAGTTGGGTCATGGAATGTCACAAAGATAATGCAATTTCTTTTGGATTTTGGGTTCCACAGGTGGCTAGCTTGCACGGTATAAACAACGAAAGCTTATTTTTGTCGTCTGCAGTGCAGTGGTCTGCAGTGCTGCGGTGTAGAAAATTTGCCTATCAAGTTAATAATTGACATAAAAAACTATCGAAACAATAAGAAATAAGCTCTCGTACTTTGTAGTTTTTCAACTTTTTCGATGTTTTCTTTCTAAACTTGTAAGAATCTATGTCAGCCTACATTAAATCAATTGCTGCCAATAACGCTCATATGTGTGTTGTTAAAGACAGCGCAGCTGCAGCTGTCAGCTAAGCTAACTTTACTTCAACGAAGTTTCGTCTGATTCACTTGAGGCTGATTCGCGAAATTGAGAAGCATTTTACATTAGCTGGGGGTGGAAGTACAAGTAACCATGTGTGGGGGATTTACGTGCTCTAAACGAGCTCTTGTAGCTCTGAATATATTATATATCGTAAGTATTTGCTGAAATACATGGCCTTCACAACCCGCAATTGTGCCTTGATTATGTAAACAAAAGCTGACCTTAGCACTTAGCAGATTGTCTTAGGATGTGAACTATTTGAATCACAATTTACCTACTGTGTTGCCATCACTCTTGCAGTGTTCACCTAAAGTTTGTATGAAGTGGGGTTAAGTTTCTGTAACAGTTGCTTATTTATAGGCTCTGCAGTTTACCATTTGTACCAAATATGCATTACTCAAAAAAACGTACTTTTGGTTATTTTGCTCATGACAGTATCTTTCTCATTTCTTTGATAAACTCCTATCGTCCGAGGTATGTCATACATGACCGTCTAATCTCCTCTTCTTCGACAGGTTGTTGCATTTGTTCTCATTGGGGTTGCTATTTATGGCAGAAATTGCACTCGTGTGATTGATCTTCCTATTATTGGTGGCATAATGGCGTGTGGCATATTTCTCATTCTGATCTCAATTCTTGGTCTCATCGGAGCAGTAAAACATCATCAAGTCGTATTGTTCTTTGTATCCTTCTGTGCAACTTTATTTTTTGTATAAATTATACACCTTTCTAGATCAATTTTTCCTTAACAAGATATAGTACATGGTTATTTTGTTCATGCTTTTCTTAGTCCAATTTAGTGTGGCCTGTGCTTGCCTTGCCGTCAACAAAGAACAGCAACGACAACTTGCTAAAAAGGTATGTGTGTCATCAAGGACCCTCAGTGGACATCCAAAATGTATAAATATAACAATCGAGAACCTGTACTTATTTGCTTCTTAGGGATGGGAAAGGGTTTCCGAAAGTATGAAGGAAGAAGTTGAGAAAATGTTCTCATGCTGTGATTTTGAAAAATCTGCCAATTCCAGTGTTGTTCCGTCTAAAAATTGTACACAGTCGAATATGGTAAGACTAACAATGAATTAGTATTGTTATAATTAGAATATCATGAAAAGCTTGATATTAATTGTTATGACATTTACAGCCACCATGCATAGACAAGCTTCAAACCACAATAGACCATGCTTTTAAGTTGTGTGGAGGCATTGGTTTATTCTTCAGTTTTACAGAGGCAAGTATTCTTCAAGGAAAAAGCATGCTTTCTGTGGGTGAAGGTTCAATGGGTTGAAATGATATTTGCTGTAATATTTATGCTTTTCTCTTCTAACTATAATGGTTTTGCTTATTCATGTTTCTATTTCTAACTTGGTGGTGGTGTCTTGCCTCTCATGTGCTGCAGTTTGTTGGAGTATGGTTGACTGTGCGTTATCGTAACCAGAAGGATCCACGAGCTAACCCCAGTGCTTTCCTCTAATTATTTACATTCTCAAACATTACTGTGTGGAGAAGGCTTTGGTGTGTTCCGTCCTTATTTTCCTTTCTAGTACTTTTCTACTGTTTCTTATCAGTACATATTACTGTTTTCAAGAAAATCTTTCTTGCAAAATTTGTAATATTTACATATATCATATATATGTTAACACGTTCGGTGCAGCTGAAACTTTATTATCTAATCCAAACTTAATATAAGTTCCTCTTTGCACTGAATGTGTGAATCTGAGCATACTGGCATGTACAACTTTTTTTCTTCCTATCCAGGTGATAGCAGCTTGGGTAGCGTGTCGATACAGGAACCAGTTTGATCCAACAAAAAGATTATTGTTCCCAAGGAGCAGAATTTACTAGTTTTATGCTTAGCATGTGTAAGTATATTCAATGACTGAAATATTTATTGAAGTATAGGAAATATGCTATCATTTCATATTGAACAGTTTTATTTACTGGTGAATGTGAGCTGCCATACATGCTCCACTCTGTTTTGAAATTTATGACAGATTTTATTGGTTTTATTCAGAGAAAGACTCTCAATAAATTCTATTACTTCTTTTGATGTTTTTAAGTGCTGTTAGCCTGTCAGTGCGTCAGAACTTTTGTTTTGTATTTTTTAGTTTTTATTAAAAAGTAGTAACCAAATCAGATTTGCTGATTATGCGAACGTTTATAGGTTTGCTTGTATTCAAGATTTAAAAATATACCTCTAGAGATAAACTGTAATTAAATCAAAAACAGCCAGGAGAGATGAATTTGTAAAGCTGAGTTAGATTGTACAATGTTAGTGGCATTTTTGTCTAATTAAGAATGCTTTGTGCCAAAATAAGCTTTGGATGGCCATGAATTTTGCTTTAATCTATCATTTACAATAATAGAAGAACCATCAAAAGCTGTAACTTAACTCTTTGTGTACCTCAGATATCTTATTCATAGTTTTGTAGTGTATAGACATTGCATCCTCCCATAGTACCTTCTCACTTTTTTCACACAATCTACCATTTTGAAACCAGTCTAGATCTTCCTCCACTGATTGGATCTGTCAGTGCACACCCTGCCTTGTGAGGCTCAATTCGGGACAGAACAGTCAGCCAAATGGTAGAGTGAAGACAATGAGGCTCCCTTCTGAGAGGTGTGTGCCTGGAAGTTAAGAACAATGAGGCGCCTTTCTGGGAGGTCACACTGAACTGCAATCATCCATCTGTTGATAAAGAAATAGCAGTTACAAAATTTGAACATCCTCAATTCATTCCCGTTTTTATGTCTTAAACTTTCCACACACAGCTTTACATGCATTTAAAATCTCTCTTGGGACCAACGTGAACTATTATCATTTCCCTTTATTTTTGTTGTTTCTTTAAACAGTGTGTGGCCATAGTCTTAAAACTTACAACTTGTATGTCTCTGATGTGTATTTATCAGATCTTACAATTATTTTAAAGCTGAGATGTAAAGTGAAGTAGTATCTATGAAAACCTATTTTCAGGGACAGTTCCTAGTCAAAGGCTATTGTATGTTATTAGCTTATACAACCACTGTGTGTCTTGCCATGTCTTTCTGCTTTACTACTATAACCAATTACTGTGCTAGTGAGTGTTTCATGTAGCTGTTTGTGAAATCTTCATGCATAGAAACAAAGTTTAACTACGTATATCTGTGAGCAAAATGTAGTAGTAAACATGACCCTACTGTATAATCAGCTTATTATTCATGAATTTTTATGCTGTGGTCTAGTCATCGTCTGTACTTTGAGATATTGATGTTTACCACAATTAAAATGCAGAAGAACAAATAAAAATGTATCACAGTAATTATTTTATTTAATTGTCAATGTTCAAACAGAATACATTCACTCTAAGCCAACCTTAGAAATTCATTTTGGAGATCAGTACAAATTAAGATTGAAAAATAGCAGGGGTATTTTACCAAGTAAACATTCAATCAACGTTTTTTTGACTTGAACCTGTCTAATACATTGTTTGAAATGTTGCTTGCTTCGGATTTGTTTTTGTCTTCCTGTAGCAAATGTCTCTTTGTTTGTACAAATTTCTGCAAGACATAAAAAAAAATTACCCCATTAAACTGTAGATCCAAATAAAAACAAACAAATAATCTAATACGGTATTTGGTATTCCCTTACCCTAACATTATCTTCTCGTATGATTTTCTTAGTTTTAGCAACTTGAGCAGTACCAGCCCTCCATTTGGCTCTTTTTCGAGGTTCAAAATCAAGCTTTGGAGGTTTCAAAAACTGAAACAGACAATGGTAATGGTCAAAGATACACAGATCAATGAATAAAATTATTACCATTTTTCTATGTGACTTACCAGTAGATTCTTTTTAGCTTCAACCTTATCCTGGAGAGTCGGAGTGTCAACCTGTGTGATTGTGCTTGGGTCTAAAGATATGAGTTCTGGTTGAATCTTCTCCAGTAAAGATTTGACTTCCCGCTCACGACGTTGAGTCTTTGTCTGATACGGATTAGCCTCCAAAGCATCAAAGTTGGGTTCACCACTCCCTAAAGAAATGCAAAAATATATTGTCAAGGAGCTATTGACAAGGAATTATAAAATGAAATGCTAAAGATGTGATTTCTAACCGGGAACTAAAACACTTGTAAATCCTTTAGAGTGTGCCACACCCAGTACATCTTCATATGCACAGAATTGAAGAGATTTTATGGTACTGCTGTTCTTGTGCCGTAGATATGCTTTATCAACATGGTTACGGCATGGATCTTTATAAACCTTAAAGAAGAACAACGGGTCATTTATGACATTTTTAAGACAATAGAAAATGTGCTGAGTTACTCACCTCTACAATGTTACCCATTGACAGAGCTAATAATCCTTTCTCACTTAAGGCTAAATTGTTTGCATGGGCAAACAAATGATATTCTGACAAAGGCCCACTCAGCATCCGGAGATCCCAGGTTTTGACAGTTTTGTCAGCAGCAGATGTTACCATGTACCTATTAAATGCAATAAAGTAGTACTTTGTCTTAAAGAAATTTCCTTCCATAACACAAAAAATTGGGAAAGTTTAATACTTACTGTCCAGTCCGATCAACTGCAAGACCAAGCAGAGGGGATCTATGACAGAGCATTTTAGCCAAAGGTTCTTTCATATTTGGACTCCACATAGATACTGTGCCTATAAAATAAAGGGAGATTTTTACTTTTTGATCTAATCTTACAGTAAAAGTAATTTTAAGTTAAAACAGAAGCAAACCTTGAGCATGTCCTAAACAGAGAACAGCATTGTATGGGTTCTGTACCATGAGATTTAAACGACCCATTCTAGTATTGAATTGTGAAATAATTTTTCCTAATGATATGTCCAACCATTTTAACCAGCCTTGTTCACCCTAAAATGAAGAGATATAAAACACAATAGAAATCACAGGAGTTTCAAAACCTTTTTGAAAATGAGCAGCACATCACAAGGACACAAGTGGTCTCTTGGAATAACAAACTTACAGCAGAGGCAAGTAAGAAATGGTATGGAAGAAATTCCATACAAAGTACTCTATTCAGCTGCTTGAGACAGTGCAACTCAATTCCTTGATTGTCATATATGTAAACCCATTCTTTCTGAGCAACTGCAAGCATTGTTTCAACGTGAAGCCACCTAAGGAGAGAGAACAGTACAAATGAATACACAAGAGGATAAGAGCGTGTTTACTAGACAAATGTATATAAATCTCACCTGACATCAATTACTTCTTCCATTACATTCATTTCACATAAAAGCTTTTTTGTGACCCAATCCATAGCAGCTATGTGCCCCTTCCGCCCACCAAGACAGAGGAAACGTCCATTACGGCTGTAATTTGATCTGCAACAAGATTAATTTTCAATACAACTGAAGAAGCTCCACGAAAACTTGATCATGGTGGTGACATCATACTTATAAGGTCCAAATTGGAGATCAAGATCAAATTGTTTTGTGGCACTTGTGACATCAACTGATGCAGCAATTTGACCTTGAGAAAACTGTCTTGTTACTTCTCCATCATCAGCTTCCAAAAACCTAGAACAGTCATTAATGAGGTACTTTTACATGATTGTTCATGTCAGTCTTTCCCCAGGTAGCAGAGCTGCATAAAATGTGCATTTTGTGTCCAATCTAAACCGCGTCTAAAACGTGTGTAGGCGCCTAATATGCACTTAAATGCGCGTTTCAGATGGGACATATAATGCGGTTCGAATGCAGTTTGCTATATTTTGCTACCTGGGTCTCTCATCATAGAGCACATTGGCATTCTTACCCAGAATCTTCAGGAAGAAACAACTCTAATCTTGCAGCTTGTTCTGTAGAATATTCAATAATTTTTTCTCGTTTTTGCAGCTTCTTCTTTAACAGATTTACTTTGACACCAGTTCCATCAAGACCTTCACCCCTACTATGCTTTAACAATTTTTCTTTAGGAACTGATGGTCTTCCTGGAAATTTATCATTTTTGCCTTGGCGTAAGCCAAGTGGCACCGGCTTACTTTCTTCACTGTTAGATGTCTGGAAGGGCAGGTAGAATAACAGAATATATAAAAAAAAATGTATGTACCTACAGTCGTCCCAGCCAAACTTCTCGACTGAGGCGACGCGTCTTTAGCCCATATCTCGGTCAGTTTTTGAGCCAGAAGCCTAAGACCTTAGGCCTGTATAAGACGCAACTTTTGGCGCAAACAGAGCCATCCTAGCTCTTCTGTAGCGTTCAGAAAGGCTGCACCGTTATTGGCCACCCAATCGAGAAGTTTGTCTGGGACGACTATACATTGAGTTTGTGGGCAGCTGGAAACACATTTATGAGACACTAATGAGCCAAATACCTCCCAGATTATGATAAAATTTCATCCAATCTTATTTACAGAAGAATAATCGCAAATGATTAGGACACATATATGGAGAAATCATGCAGCCCCAAAAGAACAGTAATTGACAGCCAAGTGTTACCTCTTTCTTCACTTTGACTTTCTTTGCTTTCGACCCGCTAAGATCAGCAGTGTCTACGAGGGAAACAAACTCTTTGAGTTGGGAGTCCCTTTCTTTGATCCATTGCTTTGTTGACTTGGGTTTAAAATTACTCATGACAGCCTTATGCTTAGGTTGTGGTACAGCCTTGCTTTTCGCCATCTGAAGAAAAATGATTTTTCTTTCAATTTAACATTAATTAAAACTCTGTCAGTCGACTCAGAGAAAAGAAAACAGTTAAACACATTAGGAGAATAATGTAGGGTTATTGCGAACGTAAACAAAGGTGATTGCTTTGAAAAGTATACCTTTCCGATCAGAATTCAAAGTTGTTTCAAAAATTGAAATATGCATAAATCAAACTTCAAACACTAGCATGCCGATTGGGGCTTTTACAACGGATGAGACAATTCATAACAAATTTAACCGGACTATTTCATGCCCAACACATGTGCGTTGAGTCTAGTCTGTGATAGTTTTCATCCCTGCCCTGTGCCGGAAGCCAGGCCACTACAGTATGAGAAATATCGTGACGTTCCGCAAGGGAACCAGGGAGACTTAGGAAAGGGAGTTGGTGAAAAAAATAACAACAAAAACACATATACGCTCAGGCCGTACCTTTTCAAAAATATAATTTTATTGTCCTTGCCCTGACAGTAACAGATTCACGAAAAAAATGCACTTGAAGATATTTGAAACCATAAACAATGTGCAGAAGTACCCTGTCACGCTCCTCATGATTGGGTCGCCGGATGCTGGGCGAGAGTCTCGTAGAATCAAAAGTCAGACTATCTACCTATGAACCTGATTGACCCTGGGCTCCTCGGCCAGTTTGAAAACCAAATCTTCCCAGGTCACCCTGGGCTCTGCTGCTCGTCCCGGCTTGACCTCCAGGCTGAAAATTGGAGCCGCCTTCACCATTCCATTCGTTTTGGCCGGCCTGGCTGCCACCGAGACTTCCCTGGAGGAAGCTTCCGCTTCCCCGGCCACCAAGACCCCCCTCACCCCCTAGACCTCCCGCCCCACCCTGCCCGGGCTGG